TAAGCAAAGAAATGGTGTCCAAGAATGGAGCCTTGTGGTACCCCCACCGAAGATCTGTGGATGTTGAAATAAAATCCTTGACACACAAAAGGTTCTATCAGAGAGGTAGGACCTAAACCATCTGAGGGCCGACCCTGTGATGCCCACCCACTGCTCCAGTCTGGAATGGTCATTGGCATCAAATGCAGATGTAAGGTCCAATAGGAGAAGAAGCACAGAATCACCAGCATCCGTGGTTAGGAATATAATGTATCATTAAAAACCCTCAGTAGAGCGGACAGTGTTGTGGTGAGATTTAAAGCCTGATTGAAACACCTCCAAAATAGTGTGATACTCCAGGAAACATTTTAACTGGGAATCAACTATTTGGACACCCCAATGTAGACACCAAACTGAGGATGTCCATACAAACTTAGGACCACTCAACCTAAAACGTTTATCTGACAGTGGAAGGAACACGAAGACCCAACGCACCAACCAGACAACAATTTTCAGCTCAGACTAACAAGCTTTGCAAACTACAGCATTATTATGCCCTCTAAAGTTAAAATCAACAAAAATAGGTTGCTAAAACTTCTGCAAGGCAATAAAAAAAAGCTTGCATGCCCTACGATTTATATATATATTTTTGTACATATTTGTGTCCGACCATTTTCTTTTAACTTCTCGGACTCATCTGTTGTCTGTTTACAGTGTGAGACAGCCTGTAAATAATACAGCAGAATACTGTAAAAACGTCAGAGAACATCCACTTCAAAGTTTTCCAGCATGTGCTTGTAGGTACAAAACAGCTCACACGAGCCTGTCGTGAGTACCGAGACAGACGGATAAACATGTGATCATGCTTTCTCCATCTGTGGTAGGAGCCACAAAAAGTATGTTTTGTTGCTGAATGGGAAGTTGTAATTAACAGAAACAGGAGATTGCTTTAGGAAAAAAATCGTATTCAGTTTCTAAAGGTAATACTGTTGTGTTTCTGTGTTCTTTTTGGAATCAGCCTGGCTTTAATTCTGTTTTATCTGTCTTGTGAGTGATGTCAAAGCTGTCCTAGACCTGTTGAAGAAAATAATCACTCCCCATTAAGTTTAATTTAATATTTTGAAGAATTATACCTTCATAATTGCTTAAACTGTCCTTTTCAAGCCCCCCTCCATCTTTCTGTTCCACTTGTTTTTTTATTAAACCTTTATTTATACAAGTTACTCTCAACGAGTCATGAGAACTCATTTACAAGAGAGACCTGTTTTAGACAGACAACATATAAATAGTTAAAATAATAATTGTTAAAATGCAATTAAAATTAAAGTTGTTGTAAAACTATAAATCAAGGTTCCATATAAAACAAGGTAAAATACTATTGACCTTATCAAATGTTTAAAATCCTCTAAAGAAATTAAGGTGGACAGCTTCTGTTCCTGTTGCAAGGTGTTCCAGGAGCAGAGCAGGAAAAGGCTTACTTACTTATTTATTTACTTATTTATTTATTTACTTACTTACTTACTCATACATTCTGTAGACTCATGATTTACTCTTTCAGATCTATTTATCCATCCATCCATTATCTTAATCTGTTTCTCACTTTCTGGACTGCGGGGATCGCTCACTGTGTGAGAGGCTGGGTACACCCTGGACAGGTCTCCAGTCCATCACAGGAACACCTGGACAAGTCCATCACAGGGACATATAGAGACAAACGGTGATTTGACGCAGGCCTATGCAACTAAATTGCTCAGGGGGCCACAGTTACTGAAAGCTAAGAGCTCAGGGGCCGGACATCCAGCAGTTATTGTCAATAAGTAAATTTGTTTTAGGGTTTAAAATCTAATAGGACCCCACTCACCCATCATACACACTTTTTGCCCAGCTCCCCTCAGGAAGGAGGTTAAGGAGCATTAATTGTAGAACCACTAGACTGAGGAACAGCTTCTACCCTGAAGCTGTTAGATTCATGAATCTCTAACCAGGATAATCACTGTAAAAAATCACATCATGTTGCTGCTGATCTGTTTCATGTTGCTGCTGATCTGTTTCATGTTGCTGCTGCTCTGTTTCATGTTGCTGCTGATCTGTTTCATGTTGCAGTGTTCATGCGTGCTCATCTGCTCACACAGACTCATGTTTGTGCTGCTGTTTGGTGTATTGTTTTTATGCTATTAGTGCTTAGTGTATTATTTAATTGATGTTTTTCTTAGTTCATATCTTAGATCTTATTACTGTTTTTCTTATACATTTTATTGTTGGATGTAACTGGGACCCTGTGTACATAATTTCGTTCCACCACATGTACCACATGGGGTGCGAATGACAAATAAAGAACCTTGAATCCTTGAAAATGAACCCATTGGTGGACCGAACAGAGCTCCCCCTTGGGCCTGATTTGGCCCCTGGGCCGCCAGTTGAATAGCCCTTGAGTCACCAATCCGCCCAACATGCATGTTTTTGGTCTGTGGGAGGAAACCGGAGTACCCGTAGAAAACTCACGCAGCACAGAGTGAACATGCAAACTCCACCCAGAAAGACCCCCGACTGGGATTTGAACTGGCGACCTTCTCTCTGAGAGGCGACAGCTCAACCAAAGCCTCTTTCAGATCATTTCACGTGGTTCTTTGCTGTCAGATTTGCAGAGCACAGTCTGAGTTAATAACCTGTCCTTAGCCTTGATGCTGATGTTCAGGTAGTTTCACTCCATGATTACAATATATATGTATTATATATGTATATATTGTGTATTCTGTCATAAACAATAAAATAAAAACAGCTCCGCAGATTGTGTTGAAGTAAAAAAATGTGCACCTTAATTTGGAAAGAAATGGACATGCTTCCAGTAAATGTAGAACTGAATAAAATGATTAGTAATATATTTATTAGTGTAAACAGATTTCCCCCCACATGGATTAATTAATTTTATCTAAATCTAGTGAAGTCGATTAGTGATGATCAGATGATGAAACGTTCTGATGCGCTAACTTCAATATTTTCTGTGAAGGACAGTAAAATTTCATTTAGTGCTTTCTCTACATTTGTTTAGTGTTTTTAAATTTGCAAACCGCTTCAGTTTCTGTTAAAATGATTAGAGTTTGTTTATCACTGTCCGTACAACACGCAGGCAGGCGCTGCAGAAATGTGACCGTAATTGTTTGAGCTCACGCTGCAGCTGTTGATAATTTCAACAAGAGTGCTAATCAGGTTAGTTTATATACGCAGGTGAACTCATGAATTACCAATGTAGAACAAGTTTGTCGTGATAAAGCCAGCGTGGGGGAGTGAGGGTCTCAATCCCTCCTGCATCCCCCCAGTCTGAGTCAAGCCTCCCTAATTAGAAGCAGAGCTTCTTACAGGAAACGATCTTCCTGTCTGATGACATCACTGCCAAATCCATTCATGAGATGAGGGTGATCTCAGCTTGTGGATTGAATTTTTATTTATTTTTTTCTCATTTGTTTTTCACAAACAAATCTCAAGAAAAACACCTCGATGCTTTGTGTCTTTAGAGGATAGTGAAAACAGGTTTACTATCCAAGGCCACTATTTTCCATTGAATTATGTGTCACAATGGCTGATTCGTAAAGTTTATTCAAATAAAATCATTCTCCTGCAGAGTTAGCCGTAAAAATAAATTGCTAGCTGTGTTCTAAATCAGCAGGCACTCATGTGTGTGCTTAATTTCCTAAATTAAGGCCTCTTTCCCTGCTTTTATGTGTTTTCCGTGCAACACTGAGCCCCGTGTCTGGACTTGTTTTAGACCCCTTCAAACGCTTCTATCACAACCATTTTCCTTAAAGCATCAACTTGAAACAGCGCCAGATATAAAACGGTAACAACATGCAGAGCCAGTGTTTTGGATGAGTTTAAAAGAGATTTAGAGAAGAAAGGAGGGGATAAATAATAACAGTGCTAAAAGGAAAAGCATAATAAGGGCCTAGTTTTTTTTAAGGGAAGTGGAGGCTTTCATCTTTCTATAACAGTAATGTTCTCAATGAGTCTTCAGGCCTGTGTTTAGTCCAGTGAGCTTTGAGTGGTGCACATGAAAGGCTCCAGTCAGCCTGGGCTCTCGCTGGAATATGGTATCTATCCTCCTTTCTTCTCCTCTCTCCTGCTCCCCCTCCTCCTGCTCTTCCTACCTTATAAAGGTAATGTGTGGCTTGCAGTGACAGTAAACATGGTAAAATGGCTGTCAGTGTTTTGTCTCCCCCCCACCCCCCGACTCTTTCCCCATCTGAGGCCCCCAGGGTTTAGGAAATGGAGCATTATTTTCCTGTTCGACGTCACGAGCCAACCCCTCTGCAGCTGTTGCACGTTTTAAAACTCGGGCACTTCAGCTAAACGTCCCGCTCAGTTAACACCAAAAACTCTCATATTCATTACGCTACGCTAAAAAGAGCTCTCGCCCTCTTCTTTCCTTCAACTGTAACCTTTAGATTTAAAATGTTTTTTTTATTCTCGCACGTTGAGCTTTCGCTGTGTCCCACTCATAACTCCTAATTAGTGCACAAGTCATGTGTTGCAACAAGTAAAACCTGTTGCCAGATCTTTTTTTTTTTGTTTGTTTGGAAAAATGCCTCACTGCCAGTAAACTCATTTCATCATTATTCAAAAAAAAAAAAAAACCCAGAAAGATTAGACACAGGATTAACAAGGTGAGCTGAGAACAGGCTCGCTGCTCTCGTTTGATTCAGTTTAGTTCCAGTTTGTTGGGGTTCCTGCAGAAAAGCTGCATTTTTTAATGCCTGGAATTAAACGTTTCTTTCTCTCTCCCTCTCTAAATCCTCTCACACATTTGTTTTCCGTCCCACCCACTTCCCTTTATCTTTTCTCTACCCACCTCCCCCTCGCCTCCCTCCCTTCCCCCCCATCCTCTTCCTCTCAGCCTCAGCATTTGGAGGCTTAAGAGAGGGATGTACCACATGAGCCACTCCCTTCGTGCTGCCTCCCCTTCCCACAGCGTGGAATGGTACAATCCTGCTTTGCATAAGTTTCCTCTGAGTGGGTCTTGTGTGGAGGCCAGCACTGAAAGAACTATTAGTCTCTTTTGAACGGTTTGGATGTATGTCTAGAGAAAGCTAGTGTGTCACTCTTCTATACCTTTATCACCTAAACAGTTAGAGCGATAATGTATTGCGCCTACCCTGTCCCTGGAATGGGCAGTAACTCTTTAATGTATTACTACAATGGGAAATCGGTGAGTAGACTCTTTGGGAATGTGTGTGTGAGACGGAGAGGAGCTAAAAGAAGTGTGCGTATGTGCATGAGAGTGTTTGCCTTTGTCACTGTCTTTCTGCTTCCCTCTTTAAGCGCCGTTAAGTTTTCTGCTGTGTTTATCCCTCTCTGTATATGCAGATACATGTTTGTGATGCCACTCTGTCTGATTTTCCATTACATCAGTACCAGGATCAGAATACGCTGTGCCTTAAACTTGCTTTAGCATTTTCGCTGCTTTAAATCAGAATGAAACAGTATGGCAGAACTCTTTTTTTTAATTTTTTTGGGGTCAATCTTGAATTTATTTTTACTGGCTGGTGTCTTTAGCTTGAAGACTGAGCTGAAATATTAACAAGTGGGAGTCTGGGAATGATTAAGAGAGAGAGGCTGCCTGTTGAGGTTAGACTTTCCTGTTTGCAGATTGAGCTCCAAGCACCAGTGTTGCTGTTATTCCATCTGTTTTTAATCACTTTGGCATTCTTGCTGCCACAGGGAGCCTAATGTGATTTTTGAACTTTGCTGTAATAACTGCTTTGATTTTGGGTGCACTGGAAACTTTGTTGTTGTAGTGCTTTCTTTTTGTAAAATGCACGCATACGTGTGTTTAAACGTGATGAGGTTGGCTTTTTTTACTGTTGCAAGAAGCTGAATTTTCCACGACTGAACTTGTCCAGATGAATATTGTTTGTGCTTGTGTTGCTGACAGATTATAGATGGTGTTTTTTTTTTTAATGTTAAAACAATTCAGTTAGTTGATACATCTCACCGATCCTGTCCAGCATTGATTAGATGAGCTCTATGTTGCACTGCAGTAATGATACAGCAAATTACAAAGACACCTGTCATTTCCTGTGGCATATATATATATATATATAAGGGCCACATGTGTCTGAAAGTAAAAAAAAAAAAGAAAATTAAGAATTTTTTTTTACCGTAAAGGTCATCCTGCTCAAGCTTGGGTTTCAACTTTTCTTGCAGCCAATTACAGCCTTTCCTTTTTAGTTCTCTCTGCTCCAAATATGACTTTGATCTTTTTTCATATTAAGCATTAACAGGCTTGTGTTACAGTTGGTGATGAGGAGAAAATTGATAGCATGTGCACAGAACGGGAAAACTTTATGATCAAAAGCACTTGTTAAACAACCACCACAAGCCTTTTTCAGCTTTTCATACTTGGACATGAGAGAGAGAGAGAGAGAGGGAGAGTTCATTCTATGAACCAACTTGATTTGAAATAATTTGTTGCAATGCAGAGTTGCACAGACTCGCCATCTGGAGCTCTGGGAGAATTCACAACGTGCCGTTGGCCTGTCGTGAGCTGGTGGCTCAGCACCAGTGCAGATGGAGCTTCTTGCTGATCTTCTGCTTCATTTTAAGAGAAAAAAGAAGAATTAAAGCAAAAGCCTGCATTGATTTTTACACTTTTTTTTTTTTTACATACCATTTTCATTTTTATGTTGCATATACGTGCTGTTGTTTTAGTGCAACAGGTTACATCACTGCTTCTAAAGCATGCATGCGTCACTGCACGTCCAAAATTAAAGTCGGGGTGAGGGTGGTGCGTTTGTGTGTTTGTTGACCGGTCATCTACAATATGCAGGATGCACAGTAATTACAAAAAGCTGCGTTGATTCCAGTATTAATTACTGTAATAGCAACAACAATTAGGCATTATTCTGCAGCACCCGTACTTTTATTTTACTGTATATTTGTATGTAGATACTTGCCTATTTTTAGCAGATCATCTACTTTTGGTTAAAATATTATTATGTGTTTACAATATGTGTATGAGCTCTGGTCAGTAGAATGTTTCAATGTGTTGGATCAGGTTGACAACAAATAAATTAAATGTGTTAAAGTTTACGTCAAAAAGAAATCTTACTCCAGTTGTATGTGAGCGTTTGAGCAAGTTTTAGAGCAGTTTCCATGTTTGTGGCTGCCGATAAAAGCTCCTTTTGTGAGTTTAATGTCCTGTTTTTATCGAGCATAAATGTTAAACAATGCCCCTCCTAGCGTGCAAAGCTGAGCGGTATTTTGAAAAAGGCATTGAGTCTTTTAAGCAAATTAAGCTTTGTAAGTGTGTAAGGTTTAAACGTAAAAATGGCCCCCATAGATTTGGTTCGATTCCAAGTAATGACACGCCGTACAAAAACAGGACACGCCACTAAGAGCGTTTGAAGTTCTTTTCTTTGAGCTCCCCCACCTTTTCTTGCCCATGAGCCTGATTTTACCGTCTTTCTTTGTTTAAAATGGCCCTTCATGCTGTTGTGTTACATCCTTTCTGCTGTTGACAGTTTGTGTTTTAACATGTCATATTTTGATTGGTGTGGCATGAAATTCAAAGCCAGGCGAGACAGTGTGCTTCGAGGCACGTGGGAAGAAAGTTCAGATATTTCCACTCAGCTGAAACATGGTTAAGAGACACGACGACGTATTTGAACCAGTGAACTCAGTCCATCTGTAGCTCTTTTTTTTAAGTTCTTTTAACTTGTTTACCTACTAATGAATTATACACAGTGTTACTAATGTTTCTAGTGCTGTTAAACAGAAACCCAAATAAATGATTAGTCTTTGACAATTGATCTATTGTAAGACTTTTCCCTTTTGTTAAGGGAAATGTCTTATTCAGACAAATTGATGCTTTGAAGTTTGGTGTCACTGTTATGGGTCATTTTATTTAAACGATACCGGCTGCTGCTCAAATAACCGGAGTGAGTCTGAGTTGGTGTGCCGAGCTGAGTGAGTGACGGCTTTTAATTAATGGCCTTGTAAAAGGAAACCCAGGCGGGCTCCCTCTTCCATAGGCCGACGGAATGAGGCACCCGGTGTTTTAGATGGTTTATTAATGCTTTGACTGGTTAGCCCAGGGTAAAAAGGACAATTAGTATTATCCACTGCCATATGCTGCCCATAGAGCGTCTGACAGAGGCAAAAGACAAAGCCTGGGCTTCTGTGTGAGGCTAACCTGAGATCTCGGTGGACTCCTATCAACCCTGGTCACATGTGTAAGCCAGAGGACCCATGAGGGCTCCACCCCTCTCAGATCACTTTAATTACACATCCAGGCAACCGCAAGCTGGAGTCCTGCTCACTCAGCAAAGCCCAACAGCTTGGAGTCCCACGTCCTGCCTTGGTAATATGTTCACGTGCGGGACTTTTAATTGAATTTATTTACGTCGGCTTGTTTTCCACCAGCGCTGTGTTGCGGAAGTTAGATAAACTCTCTTTGTGGCTATCATCGCATCCTTGCGCATTAAAACACAGTTGTGAGGCGTGAGCTGTCAACGTCAGAGTGAAACGGGGTTGTTAAAGGAGGGATTTAACGTGCGGACATGCTGGGAATGTGCAGGTGGATGGAGCTGGCAGGTCTGGCTCTGATTAGTGTTACATGACGGCGAGGTCATCTGGTCCCGTGTGTGGGAGGGGAGAATTTATCCAAACCTTTTCTCACTTCTTCCCCTCCTCACCCCAACTCCTACCATCTGGAGTGGATGAAGTCAGAGACCACATCACTGGCGTTTGGCCTTCAGTGTGTTTGATCCCGCCGCTCAGCTCGGCACACACTTGCAGCTGTACAACAGCGTGCTCATTGTGCCTCTTTTCCTCATACAGCTTGCAGGTACAAATACGACAAATGCAAAATAGGCTGCTTTTGTACCACATATTTGATTCCTGCCTCTGGGAATGCTGTAATTTGCCAGGCTTTTAGTCTTTGCGTTTAAGCAGTGTCATTATACTTCCATTAGAGGCTGAGTTGACCTGAAATGCAAATACTCCTGATAATCCTCTCCTCCCTTCATGAGCTTGATTGCTTGCGAGTCATTAAAGTATGTGTGTGTTTGTGTGTATTTGTAGGTTTTGTGCTGCATCTATGAGACTTATTTTTACTTATTCTTGCATGCACATGTGTGATGACATACTTTTGCGTGTATAAACTCCTAAATATGAGCATGCATTGTGTTTTGCATAAAAACGCTGTAAATTAGAAGATCTGACAGCAACCTTTTTGTTCCTTTTCTGAACATGGTCACAGCTGATAGTTTCACTGTGCGCTTGTTTCTTCTAACATCTGTCTTGTTCTGGCAGGTGTACGCACCGTCTCCCAACTCAGAGGACTTTAACAGAGATTCTCCTTCCTACACGTCTCCTAAACCCTCCAGCAGCATGTTTGCAAGCACTTTCTTTGGTGAGTTCGAAACGATGTTTTTTCTAGTGATGCACGATATTGGATTTTTCGCCGATATGTTAAAACTTATTCAGCCGATTCCGATACAGATATTTTATATACGTTCCTTTGTCAGAACATAGCCCTCTTATTTAGGCTTATTTGCTACAAAAATTGTGCAACAGCTGTAAGAGCTGGTGACATATATTCAGTAACAGTCATATGATATGCATAGCACTTTAACTTATATTAAATGAAAAGTGTTAAATGTTATTTATTAGCATTAGTCACCTGCGATGCTGTCTCACTTGTGGAGGCTTGTTCCAGGTTCCTATAGCTGCAGCATAGGATCCTCTGCACTCCTGTGCATGAAGGACAGACTTTTTAAGTTCAAAGTTTTTGTCTATCCATTGTGTCGTAAGACTAATCATGCTAACGGGGCTAACACAACATCCAAATGTCTGTGGTAAAACTCACCCAACAAGTCGTGCTATCGGCTTTTAGCTTCTGAATGACGTCGGAAATGACGGCTGGTAACTCGGGTAGTAACGTTACGTCGGAAAAATATCTCCGACTGGGGACGATGTAGCGAGGCTCAACGTAGTCCATAAATCTTTGGAGTCCGACATCCTCACCAACAAAAAATAAAACTTCCACACCGCCGACATTTTGAATTCTCCTCTCCACCGTGAGCTCGGGTAGGCGCACGTGACGTCATCGCGTTGCGCTGCCGCTGCAGGCAAAACCAGCGCCTTTTCTATCGGCGAGTTATTTTAATGGAATGGCCGATATTGAAATTTAACGTTAATATATACCGATACCGATATCATGCTGATAATATCGTGCATCCCTAGTTTATTCAGCAGTTTTGGATTATTAAAAATAATCAGCTTATTCTAAAACACATCTCAACACCACATGCATTGGGAATCAACAATATTTTACAGATTTATTTGTTTAGACTGTTTTTATTAGGGATGCACGATATTATCGGCATGGTATCGGTATTGGCCGATATTAGCGACAAAGTTAAATATCAAACAAAAAAAACTCACCGATATAAAAGGCTTCTGTTTTAAGTAATTTTTTTTTGTTTAAGAAACTGTCAAGTATATCTATTAATGCACGACTACTTATGCACTTTTCACTTGTCGCTTGTGAACAGGTTGAGTTTAGATTTGTGAAAATTTACAAATTTGCACTGTTCGAGTGTTGTCGTTGTGTTAGAGAGAGTAAATGTCATGAATTAATTTGATATTAAACATAATCCAAGTTGAAGTGTTACATCATTTTCAGCCCCCTTTTTTGGCATCTGCATTTGGTAGCAGGCCAAACTGACAAAGACCACGCAGAATAATGTAGTATTTTAATCCCACAGCAGAGAAATCTATGTAGTCTCTGTAAGTGGGTCTAGTGGAAAAAAAGATACTGGTATCGGTTATCGACCAAATAAATTTTAACATATCGACTGAAAATCCAATATCGTGCATCCCTAGTTTTTATGTTAAATATTAGTGCAACTAACTCCCAAGCATGGAGAGATGTCTTGTTGGATTTAGCATTTTGTTTTTCTCAGCTGTTTTCACCATAGGGGTCAGGTTTCAATCCCAAAAGAAAACATGAAAAGCCCCCCCCCCCTTAAATGACCCTTAAGTTGTAAAGATGGAGTAAGGGAGTTAGCAGCACTCTTGTCAAAGCTGCCTCGAGTTTTAAACATTATAAACTAAAGTGACTTCTGTGTTTACATTAGACGGTACCCACAGCTCGTCTGACCCGTGGAATCCGTCCAGTGGGATCAGCCAGCCCGGCTATGGGGGGATGCTCGCAGGATCTTCATCTCACATGGCACAGTCGGGGAACTACAGCAGCCTGCACTCGCACGACCGTTTGGTGAGCAACCCGCACAATAAATAACCAGATAAATAGACAAATTACTATTTATAGGCTTGTTTTGTAACCACAGCTGAAAAATAATGTGCATTTCATAGCTTTTAAATTCCACCTTGGCCTCCTTTTGCTCTTCTTACTCAGCTTCCAGATATGAGTGGGCGTGTGCGCATTAGGCTGTTTTCTGGTTATTATCAGGGAGGACAGTATTGACCCTTTTTTCTGTCGGTGTTTGATCTGGCCTCGTCTGCCTGCCTGATTCAGCTGGCAGGACTTCACAGGGAGCCTGCAGATGCTGCCTGTCCTCTCTTTATCTCAGTCCCTCCCCCATTAACTTTTCCTCCATCACAGCCTGGGACATGTCAAAGGACAATTACACTTAAGAGAACAAACGCACCTTTTTTCTTTTCTTTTTTTGTACACATACACGCCTTTAAGTTTTACTTGTTTTATCCTACAGAATTACCCTGCACACTCAGTCTCTCCAGACATCAATCCCAGTCTTCCTCCCATGTCGAGCTTTCACCGGAGCAACGCCAGCACTTCACCGTTTGTCACGGCAGCTCACACCTCGTCCGTCCCCCCAGCCGACGGGATCATGGGTATGTTCTTAACCATCCACAGTTCTCACGTCACAGTCAGCGTAATCGAAGCTATGCATTTATTCTTAGATGGATTGCATGTTTAGGAATTTTTGACCACTTTAATTTGAGTTTGTTAAGTGACTCCCTGTGTTTTCCTAGTTGCTGCAAATCGGGGAACGGGAACTGGAAGCTCGCAAACCGGAGATGCACTTGGCAAGGCTTTAGCCTCGGTGAGTTGAGTCCTGTTTGTTTTGCTTTTGAATTTAAAACCAATTTGAACCATGTTTGTTTCCTCGTCGGTCCTGGATCATTTTCTGGGAATCATCACAATCATATGGAATTAAAGTGTGTTTTGTTTTTTCTTCAACCCAAAATAGAATAATTGTCCATCTTCCTGTTAATAAAAGTAAGTCTGCAGGGGATTAAATGCTGATTAAAAGCCTCAGGGAACCCAAACCTAGATAACTGTGGAGTTAAACTAAAAGCTTTTAAGAAAATCTACTGAAAAGTGCATGTTAAGCCAAAGGATGGAACAAATTAAAAATATATAATCCTGTGATGTCCTTTAGATCAGTGGTCCCCACCTTAATTGCACCACGGACCGGTTTGATGTCAGACAATATTTTCACGGACCGGGGGGCGTTATAGTCTGGGGCTCCTCCCCAACAGAATTTTAAATAAAGTAGATGCCATTTCCTGCATTCTGGTGTATTTTACCAACATTTAAAACGTTTTTCGCTTCAAATACTCTGACTGCACGACACACAGCTTCATGAGCTGAGCTCATTGTCTGTTCGGTGAAAGTTCAGAGAACTCCTGCAGTGATTCACACATCAAAAAGCACAGGAACTTATGCCCAGTGCAAAACGTTTAATTAGATGTTTGTGTTTTATATTAAAATTACCCATGACTTTGAACTTTTAGGGGCAGGGATTTTTTTTGAGCAGAAACAAAAATGTGAAGCGACAGCTCTGATGTGATATTAGGAAGCTTGTTAAAATTATAGTTTTATTTAGTTATAGTTTTATAGTCAATCTTTGTCAGGCGGTTGAAAAATCCATCCATCCATCCATTTTCTTTACCCGCTTATTCCATTTTGGGTCACGGGGGTCACTGGTGCCCATGTCCAGCAATCACTGTGCGAGGGGCGGGGTACACCCTGGACGGGTCGCAAGTCCATCACAGGGACACATAGAGACAAACGAGACAAACAACCATTCACTCTCTCACTCACACCTAGGGACAATTTAGAGTTACCAATCAGCCTAACATGCATGTTTTTGGTCTGTGGGAGGAAACCGGAGTACCCGGAGAAAACCCACGCATGCACGGAGAGAACATGCAAACTCCACCCAGAAAGGCTCCTGGACCGGGGTTTGAACCAAGGACCTGCTCACTGAGAGGCAGCAGCTCGACCAGTTGCGCCACCGTGCTGCCCCGGTTGAAAAATATGCAGTGTAATTCTTCAAAATGCACAGATACGGCTGCGCACCTCCACCTGTCTGCTCCAGACCACGTAGCTGAATTGCTTTGTTCTTCACCAGCAGTGTAGAACTGGTCTGCGCATGCACCGAGCAGAAAGTGAAACTAACCACTTGTGTATGTCGACCTGCGTCAAGAGTCATAGTAGAGAGAATCCAGTGATTTTTTTTTCAAAATAAAACTTTTTTTTCCCCTTCTGTGCGGCCCGGTACCTATTGACCCACGGACCAGTACCGGTCCGCGGCCCGGGGGTTGAGGACCACCGCTTTAGATGATTTATACTGCGCTATGAAAATACAGTGACTTGTCCGTAAAGCCTCGTTTACTTGTTTCATTTTTTTTTCTACATTCTGGTGTCACATAAAGCCCAAATTTAAATTTACTTAGAACCAGAGCTGCTTCTTCAATGTGCGAAACCAAAATAATAAAAGTTCATGGATCTTAATTACAAATTAAGTCTTTTGTATTTGCAGACTCAATTCTATTAGCATGACAAAGCTGGAGTGAAATGGACATGGTTGGAGCAGGGTGGGGGTGGGTGGGCACAGGGGAGTTTATAACCGCTGTGGCTCAACTCTGTGGGCACCCCCCGCCTTTGAGAGCTTTTGTTCTGCGCCTGTTTAAATTGGCCGTGCTTATTGGGCCCACGCCGCCTGCGGGAGTGTAACTGATGACGAGGCGGGGCTTCATTTAGTCCAGAAAAATGAGCCATGTTTCACTCTGAACGCAGCGATTGTAACCAGGGAGGGGGGGGAGGGGGGGGAGAGAAAGTCATATATTGTCTGGTCAGAAGTCACGGTTACAAACAGCGTGCTTTAGAGAGACTAAAAGATTTGAGATTTGGTTTGAGTTTTATTGGTTTGTGCCGCAGTGATAACCACACTTTTAATCCTCCAAGTTGTTTGCATGTCTTAAAGTGAAAAAGCTGAACGTTGAGAAACCTTGAGCTCTCTTTGTGTAGAAAAGTAGATAAAAAAAAGACCGTCTATAGACAATAGTCAGTCTTCCTCCACATTCAGTGAAACCTCTGTCCCCTTACTGCAAGTTGATTAAAAACAAAAGCTCAAGATTAAATCAGATTATTAACGAGTGTATTCTGTAAACGAGTGGCTGTGAACTCAGTTTGATCTGAACTTGACTGAAAAATGTCTGAATCTGCTGTTTTTTCTCTCTTGTTCCGTTAATTAGTCAGTATCCACCCTGGCTTTCAGAGACACGCTTCATTATGGCACAAATATCCTCTTGTAAAAGGAGGAAAATCAGGGATTTGTTTGTGCTTTAATCCAGCAGTGATTTAAACAAATCGTATCCCAGTAGAAGCTCTGATAATCTCGTTCTATAAACGTTGCCTAATGAATCACTGAAACAAAGTAAAAACATGTAAAACTGAAGGGATTTGTAGCAGCTGGCAGAAAACTTTTGTCCTACTTGTCATCTTCAGCTAAGTTTCAGCAGATACAAAAATAAACAACAGTTGAGTACTTGTAGTTTTTGATGTATGGTTCACGGTACAATCGCTGCCTGCAGGCTAAAATGTGGCCCTTGAGATTTTCTGTACTTGGCTTAACGGGGTTTCCAGGTTGGGCGTCTGCATCTCTGGAAACCACGGTGGAATAATAAGTGGAGCGACTTATTCAGGCACAGAAGTCTTAATGCAAATAGAAAAATACAAGCTGTGCTCCTGTAAAAAGTTTAAACAAGTTTATTTAAGACTGTAACATTGAAATATACTGACTCGTCAGCGTGCATCATTTATATTATTAAGTTTTCAGTTCAGTTTATGTATAAAGCGCCAAGTCACAACAGAAGTCGTCTCAGGGCACAGAACAGAAACGTTCATATATAAAAATAATAATTTAACACTATTTATCTGAGGAGCAGACTGCTTTGAGTTTAACTCCATCGCAGAACTCTCATCTTGAGCAAGCGCGAAGGCGACAGTGGAAAGGAAAAACTCCCACATAAGGAAGAAACCTTTAGCAGAAACAGGCTCATTTTTTTTAAAAGTTTTCTATCTTTTGCCTTGTGCTTCCAGATTTATTCACCTGACCACACGAGCAGTAGTTTTCCATCCAATCCGTCGACACCTGTGGGTTCACCTTCACCTCTGACAGCCACAGCAGGTGCAGTCTCAGCAGGTACCGTCGTGGCTGCAGCCGGCACCCCGTCTGGAAGGCCAGGTAAAACTCCAGTCTTCAGATTTTAATCTCACACACTCACTCAGTAACACTAAATGCTAGCAAAAAGAGCCAACCACATTTGATACTAGACTTTCAGAGCTTCACAATTACTGCGACTTACTTATTAGGTATTATTTAAATTAGGAATTTTCATAATTAAATGGGTTGGAACCAGAGTTAACTGTGCAGAGAGCAACAATAAGCACCAAAATGACTTGCTGTTTTTATTCATCCACGTGTAACCCCATAACATTTGGAGCCGTTGGCTGTAAAAGGATTCGGATCATAAAGTGGGATGATTAATCGATCCATACAGAGGCTTCATCTGAACTCTAATGAAAGCTCTGCCAGGATGTCTGGATGATGCAGAACAAGCTCAAATCTGCACGTCAAAACCTGACAGTGTGGTTTTATATGTAGCTTGTGTAATTGAAAAAGACGTTTATTGCCACTGTGTCATGAATAGTTACGTCTTACTGTAAATGTGACAAAGTATCGGTCTCAACTTTCATCTAGAAAAAGAGCACTTTGGCTAAAAAGAAAGTTGAACTGGAGGCAGTGGCACATGTGATGGATGAGCTGCTGTAATCTGTCTTTTCCTCCATGAAAACAGAATACTGAGTCAGAGCAGTCGACTCGCTTCTCTGTAGAATTGAACCGTGCGGCTTTGAAGCCGCCTGCTTTCATTTGCATGTGATTTAATAAAAGTAAACACAGTGGACTGTTGTGCATGATGCTTGGTTTGGCCATTTTCAAATCAAAGGCAGTGGATTCATCAACATGCTGCTTTAGAGCGTTGCAGAATCTCAGGACAACACAAGAAGCAGTGCGACAAACAAGCTTACAGATTTGGTGCAATTTGTGCATATTTTCCTGTAAACTACCAACGAGTCCCTTCACACTGCCTCTTTCAAAGAGCCTCCCACCCACTGAATGTGCTGTGCACTCTGTGCTTGGCACCAAAACACCAAACAGATGAACTGAATTTTCAGGGCTGGAATTTGCCAAACTGTCAAAGACTTCCTGCACTTGTTGTTGCGCCGCTACAAAAACAGGGCCTCGTGACTTTGATTAATTTAATTACTTTTACTGCGTGCTGCATTTTGCTCGGACTTTGATTAATCAAATCCTGAGCAGAGTGAATGGTTTGAAAGTTTCACTAAAAACTTAATTAAAACCCTCTTTTAGCTTTAAAGTTGCTTTAATCATTTTAAACTCTTCCTCATGGCCCGTTGTAGTCGTTTATAAAGTACTTATTCTCAAAACGCAGCAGATCCTTGGAGTTAACAGCTTTAATTAGTCTTTAGAAGAACAATTATTTTATGTCAACATATAAAAAATATTGCTCTTAAGTAAAAGTAAAATCAGTCGTGTCTTTTCATTTAATTAAATTTACTGTAAAGTGAACGTGAAGCTTCATCTTCATGCAGGGCTGTCGCTCCCAACATGTGCTTTATTTTCTTGGCCCGTAGAACTAATCCACATAGACTCCTGGTGATGTCACAGACTAGTTTGGGCTTTTCAGCTCTGTGAGAATCTTTGATCATGTATATAAATTTAAATTTAACATGCACTGTCAGAAAAACATTTTGGTTTCGTCTTATCCCCTTCTTTATTTCCAAGCGTAGGAAATAAATAAATAAAAGAAACTACTGCAACTTTCAGTGTTGAAGAACTTGACGGTTTCACAGTGAAAGTGTTTGAAGTGGGTCTTAGACTACAATTCCTAGAAAAGCTTTTAATTTGTCCAAAACTGTTTTAGTAGCTTTAGTAGTGGCTCATGGCAGTCACTAATTAGCAATAAGAGAATATTTGTTGTTACATAAACCTGTTTTTCATGACAAAATCCTTGTCTGTTAGATGTTTGAGGATAGACACAAAACTGTTCGATTTGTAATTATTTTGCACAATAAAAACAAAACGACGACCAAAAAAAACCCACAGTTCATCTTCTGTTGGGTGAGAAGACTCCGTTTGTTTGAATGCAAAAAAGAAGGTGCGTATTAAAAGAACATTGAGGGTCAGATGTGCATTAAAGAAATAGAGAGGGTCCGTTGTGTATTAAATGAATATAGAGGGTCCATTGTGTATTAACTGAATATAGAGGGGCAGTTATGTATTAAATGAATATAGAGGGTCAGGTGTGTATTAAAGGGATATAGAAAGTCAGGTGTGTATTAAAGGGATATAGAAAGTCAGATGTGTATTAAAGGAGTATAGAGGGTCAGATGTGTATCAAATGAATATAGAGGGTCAGGTGTGTATTAAATTAATATAGAGTGTCAGATGTGCATTAAATAAATATAGAGGGTCAGGTGCATATTAAATGAATATAGAGGGTCAGATGTGTATTAAATGAATATAGAGGGTCAGTTACGTATTAAATGAATATAGAGGGTCAGTTGTATATTAAATGAATATAGAGGGTCAGATGTGCATTAAATAAATATAGAGGGTCAGGTGTGTATTAAATGAATATAGAGGGTCAGATGTGTATTAAATGAATATAGAG